ATAAAGTGGAACACATCCATCTGCCAGATTTCATTTCTCTTAGTACCCTTTGGGTTACTCCCTGCAGGCAACGGTGTTTGATTATAGAAAGAACAAGTAGGGCATCTCTTTATAATGTCCTTAGCTTGTTGCCAAGTAATGGAAAATTCTTTCTTTAGGCCTTTACTATTGACATGATGCTTCTTATGAAATTCCGAGGCCTGCAACACACTTCCAATCAATAATTGATCAATCTCAGCATTGCCTTGGGCTAGAGGACCAGGCAGACCTGTATGGGACCGGATGTGTGTTATGTACATCGGACAAAGCCTGTTCCTGATTATGTCTTGTACCTGGATAAACAATGAAGTCAACTCTGTGTCATCTGGTATAAATTCAGCGGTTTCAATATGCAAGATAACTCTTTCTGCATATTGTGAATCTGTAACTATATTAAGAGGTTCTTTAAAATCCCTTAGCACCATAAGAATGGCATATAATTCTGCCTTCTGGACAGAATTATAAGGGCTTTGTTCCACCTTACTCAATTCATCTGACTTGTAACCTGCTTTCCCTGATTTATTTGCATCAGTATAGAACGTACGGGCTCCAGTTATTGGAGCATCACGTACAATTCTAGGAAGAATCCAAGAAGTTCTTTTTATGAGATTAAGTCTATCACTTTTGGGATAGTTGCTATTAATTTCTCCCAAAAAGTTAGCACAAGCTCTTTGCCACGGTTCATTGTCTTCCCATAACTTTTTTATTTCTTCAGTAGTAAAAGGCACTATAATTTCTGTTGGGTCTATACCTGCTAGTTGACGAAGTCTCAGCTTACCTTTTATAATTAATTCAGAGACCTTTTCCACATAAGTTTTTAATTTTTTACTTGGTTTATTAGGTATAAATATCCACTCTAAAATAATATCTTCCCTCTGCATTAGAATCCCTGTAGGAGAAATTCTAGAAGGCAATATGACTAGGATGCAGCTAAGATTTGGGTTCACCCTATCCACATGTGCCTCCTGTAATTTTTCCTCAATCATTGTCAGTTCCTTTTCTGCTTCAGCTGTCAGTTCTCTTGGACTATTCAAATCTTTATCACCATCTAAGGTTTTGTTTAAATGAACTATTAGATCAGGTGTTATCCCAACAGCTGGTCGTAGACTGGAAATGTCTCCTAACAATCTTTGGAAGTCATTAAGAGTCTTTAACCGGTCTCTCCTAATTTGTGCCTTTTGCGTTTTAATTTTCTCTAACCCTATTCTGTAACCTAGGTAATTAATAGAATTTCCTCTTTGAATCTTTTCAGGGGCAATTTGTAATCCCCACCTAGGCAAGACTTTCTTTACTTCTTCAAACATCCTTTCTAAAGTATCTTTATTTGAATCAGATAATAAGATGTCATCCATGTAATGATAAATGATGGACTTGGGGAATTGTTTACGAATTATTTCCAATGGCTTACTTACAAAATATTGGCACAGTGTAGGACTATTGAGCATACCCTGTGGGAGGACAGTCCACTGATATCTCCTATTAGACTGAGAATTATTATAAGTAGGCACTGTGAAGGCAAATTTTTCTCTATCCTTTTCTTGTAACGGTATAGTGAAAAAACAATCTTTCAAATCAATAACTACAAGAGGCCATCCTTTTGGTAACAGAGAGGGCAAAGGAATTCCAGATTGTAGTGGGCCCATAGGTTGAATTACTTTGTTGACAGCTCTTAGATCTGTCACCATTCTCCATTTACCAGATTTCTTTTTTACAACAAACACAGGAGAATTCCAAGGGCTGGTTGATTCTTCAATATGGTGAGCATCTAGTTGCTCTTGCACCAGCTGTTCCAATGCCTGTAGTTTATCTTCAGCTAGAGGCCATTGTTTGGTCCATATTGGCTTCTCAGTTAGCCATTTTAAAGGTAGGGCCGTTGGTACCTCTAAAGGTTTGGTATTTGCTGTATGTTCTTGTACAGCCTGAATGGCTGGTGACCTTTTTCCATAATACCTCATCATATCCTTCCCAGAATTATGAGTTCCTGGAAATACAGGAATGTTAATCTGGGTATTCCATTGCTGTAGCAGGTCATGGCCCCATAAATTTATGGCAATATTGGCTATATATGGCCTTAGTCTTCCTATTTGCCCTTCGGGCCCTATGCATTCAACCCATCTTGTGCTTTGTTTTACACGAGATAGGGTTCCAATTCCCAGGAACTGAACATCTACCTCTTGAAGAGGCCAATTCGGATGCCAAGATTCTGGGGTAATGATACTTACATCCGCACCTGTGTCTAATAAGCCTTCAATAAAAGTGCCATTTATACAGACTCTTAGCTTTGGTCTTTGATCATTAATAGAAGTCTGCCAAAATATACGTTTACTCTGTCCTATTGGGTTTTTTGACTCATCCTCCACACGTAATTCTTCATTTAGACCAGTATTACTTTTTACAGCAGAAATTGGAGCTTTTAATTTTCTTGGTGAGGCACGTTCTCCACTGTGACTGGGAATGACTGGGCCACTGTTGGCTTGGGGGCCTGCGAGAGGCCCCCCAAGGAGTTTCCCGATGATATCGGATTGCCCTGTCTGTCTGTTGTTGACCTACATTCGTTGGACCAATGCCTGCCTTTACCGCATCTCCTACATATACCTGAAGGCCGAGGTCTCCTATTTTTGTCATTCCCAGAAGAGATATTATTCCTAGAAATTCTTTGCCTGCAATTCCTTTGCAAATGTCCTAATTTACCACAATTAAAACACCTGGCAGTTTGATGTCTCCTCATTGCTTTGGAAATCGCTTCTCCTACCCAAGATTCATCATTATAGCTAAACGTCTCAACATTCATCGTATGCTGAATCCATTCATCCATAGGTGCTGATCTAGACTTTAAAGGCCCAATTATCTTTTTGCATTCTATGTTTGCATTCTCAAAAGCTAGAGATTCAAGAAGTATTCGTCTAGCTTCTGGGTCTGTTACCCCTATGTCCAGAGCCTTAATTAATCTTTGCAAAAAGTCAATAAAGGGTTCTCTCTGTCCCTGCCTAATTCTGGTATATGATTCAACCCTTTTTGCTGGATCTTGTATCCTATTCCAAGCATTTAAAGCTGCTTGGTGACATAGACACAGTACTTCATCATCATAAAGAGCTTGGACCTGTGGATCAGCATATTCTCCTGCACCAAGAATTTGATCTTGGGAAACCTCAATACCTTTTGCTCTTCCTTGCTGTTCCATATGTTTGGATTCTTCTCTGAAATAAATTCCAAACATCAAGGAAGGTCCATTATCTAAAACTGCAGACACTAACTGATGGAAATCATGGGGAGTAGCTCTAGCATTAGAAGCCCAAGTCCTTATCATTTCCTTTACATATGCATTGTGCAAGCCAAAATTAACAACAGCTTGCTTAATTTCTTTCAGATCATTCATTGCTATTGGCGTCCATCTAGCTTCTCTGACTCCCTTTGAGCCTTTAGAAGTTGATGCTTTTTCAGAATTAAGTATAGGGTATGTCGCTAGAACCCTGGGTAAGCCAGTTCTAATAGCTGGTGGAGGCCTTGTATCCTGTCCTTGTGCCTCCTTCCTCTGTTCACCAGCTGCAATAATTTCCCCAATCTTTTCAAATCTTTTTATCATTGTCTCTCTTAAATCCTGAATCTCCTGACCTGTATATATTTCCAGTGATTTCACTGAGGTATCAATTTTTTGGTCCCCATTCTGCACCTGTGATTCCAAAGCTTTAATTTTTTCCTTCAAAGATAACATGTCCTCCTTAAACTTTTCTTGTATATCATGTAGATTCCCATCTTGGAGGTACATTCTGTCTGTTACCTTATCAAAACTTTGTGATAAAGTCTGAACGTCAAATTCAACAGCCTGAACCCTTTCAGGTAACTTTCTAATACCCTTGGATATGGAATCAATTTTGTCTGTCATAGTATCCACTTGTTCAGATAACCTCTGATTTTCAATAATTTTAATCCTGTCAATTAGTTGTTCATTATTAGTTCATAAAGATTCTATCATTCTTAGGAGTGCCATATTCTTCTGTTCATTATTAGTACGTAAAGATTCAATCGTTCTTAGTAGTGCCATATTCTTCCTTAATGATAGAATATGGAAAAGAAAACTGAAGGCTAGTAACAAGCAAATTAAGGTATCCCCATAATCATATAAACCTTGTATGATGTAATTCATTGTATTAGTAAATATAAATTTACTAATCCATTGTATTAGTGAAAACAAAGCAGTAAAATTTGCGTTAGAAACAAAAACTGCAATATTACCTATTATCCAGCAGGTGGCGCTGTTGCAGAGTCGCGGTGAAAACATGGTCCTGTTTCAGTGCCTTAGTAGATGTTAAAAACTGGAAAATGCAAGTTTCTCAACAAAGTAAATGTAATTAAATCAATTCCTGAGACGGAACCAGAAACCCAGAATCCAGGGGTAGAGAAGAGCAATCTGGAAGCCGCTTATGCCTCCACGTGACAGAGTCACCCTGAGGGGTTGCAGCTTTCAGCAACCACGTGCTCTGGTTCGTGCCACTTAAGAGCTGTACTTGCAAGGGAGATTTAAAAATGACTCAGAAAAGAGCAAACCACGCGGCCAGAGACTACGCGGGCCTGTGGAGTTTAAATCCACGTGGGGAGTCCAAGGCCGCTGGCGGCTGAGGAAGGGGAGGGCTCCCGCCAAGCCGAACTAGAGCCCGCCAAGCCCGCGGCTGCCAAGCTGAACTTGTGCCCGCCAAGCCCGCAGCCGCCAAGCCGAACTTGGGGCCGCCAAGCCGAACTCGCGGCTGCGAGTGGGGAAATGAGAGGTTCTAAAACCAAACGTTGGGTGCCCCACGTTGGGCGCCAAAATGAAGGCGTAAGTCACAAACAATGCCACACCAATTCGGGGTTATGATTATTAGGGTGGTATTTATTTAAAGGGGAAAAAACTTACAGATCACTGTCCCAGGCAACAGCCCTCTTCGCAACCAGGAAAGGAGTCTAGTCGCAGGCGGAGCAGGAAGTGAAGAGAGAGAGAAGAGGGAAGTGGCCGCTTTTTTAAAGGGAGAGAAACCACGCCCCAGTGGGCTGGTACCTCAGCGGTGATAGGCTGGAGGAGTGGGAGGACCTCCCGCAACAAAAGGGGAAAGTGGAAGACAGCAGAACATCGGTATTGACCTCTGCTTCCTGTCTTCAGGCAGAGTGCGACCAGCTGTCTCGTGTTTCTGCTATCATGCCTACTTCACCATATTGTATCCGTTCAAAGCATGAACCCAAACAAGCCATTTCCTCCTTAAATTGTTTTTCTCAGGTTTTTTTTTTCACAGCCCTGAGAAAAGTAACACACATTGAGCAGTACAGAACGGACATCAACTGTATCATCATTCACAGTGCTGGCTAGTATTATGTCAGCTCAACACAAAATAGTCATTTGGGAAAAAGGCACCTCAACCTATAAAATGCTGCTACCAGTCTGGCCTGTAGTGCAAGCCTAGGGGGTATTTTCTTGATTGATGATTGCTGTCAGAGGCCCAGCTCACTGTGGGTGGTGCCACCACAGGGCTGGTGGTCCTGGGTACTAAAATGCATCAGGACGAGAATGCCATTAGGAGCAAGCCAGCAGGCAGCATTCTTCCATGACCTCTACTTCAGTGCGCCAGCCCTGATTTCCTTCAGTGATGGAGTGTAACAAATGATTCTAAGTTGAAATAAACTTCCAGCCACCACCCGAGGTTGCTTTTTGTCATGGTGTCTTTCACAGCAATGGAAATTCTAACTAGTTTGCCCTATGAAGATAGGATTGCTATTTATTTGCCTGAAAACATTCACTGTAAAGAGAGAAAAACTAAATGTTTCATGAGTGTGCACTAATGGAGTTTTACAGACAGGGAAGTCTCCCTGTGCCTTCAGAAGACACTGGTAGCATTCTTACTATACTCTTTATCCCCATGAAGATATATGGCATCACCAAGCCAAATTCTGTAACATTATGTACTTAGCATGAAAACTGTAGGACGGATTCAGAGTCTAGAACCTTAGCAAACACAAACATCCTGTGAGAGTTTCTTCAGAAATCTAGACATGGATTTTCAGAGATTTGACGGTCATTTCATCAGTCCCTGTAGTAAATATTCACTAACACAAGGCGCAACAGGAGGGCTAGGACCTCAGAAATCTGACCAAAACATCAAAGAGTCATGTTGACAAGCAAATGGTACAAAGAGTCTGCCCCCCAAATCTGGAACCATCCATCCAGGAAAAAAATGTGCTAGCTAAGGGCGACTGTTCTGGAAGACCTTGTAGATCCACAGATTGGGAACAAGAGACTCCAGTGCCCCCTCATCCAGAGAATGCTCCCATATCTCCTTATTAGCAGGTCTTATTCTAATTACTTTTAGAACAGAAAAGATAATTCACCTCAGCCAGATTATACCATCTAACACTAGCTGGTGTGTATGGGCAACATCCTCCCTTCTGCAGTCAGCAAGGGCTCCAGAGAGCCTTCAGCTCGCTGACAAGCAAGTACCAACTCTGGCAGGGATGGTACAGGTCACTGTGCTGCAATCTTTTTCCCCACGTGGCTTCTCTGATGTTGAACAAGGTATGAAGTTCGGGTAAAGCCTTTTCCACATGTGTTACACTGGTAGGGCTTCTCGCCAGTGTGGATTTTTTTATGTTCGATAAGACTTCGATTCTGAATGAAGCTTCTCTCACACTCATTGCACTGGTGAATCACGGGAGTTTCAGTACCATCCCGCTGGCTTTCCACCTTATTCTGACCTCTCCAAACCTCTCCAGGCAAAGACTTGGGAGCAGTTTTATCCCCGTGGATCCTCTGGTGTCTCAGGAGATGTGAGCTACGCCTAAAGGCTTTGCCACACAAGTTGCACTGGAACGGCTTCTCCCCGGTGTGGATTTTGTGATGCTCAAGGAGGCTGCAGCTCTGGGTGAAGGTCTTCCCACAGTTATCACACTCGTAGGGCTTTTCCCCGGTGTGGGTTCGCTGGTGCTTGATGAGGTTTGAGCTGTGACTGAAGACCTTGCCACATTCTTCACACTCATATGGCTTCTCACCAGTGTGAACCCGCTGATGAATGACAAGGGCGGAGCTCCCAATGAAGGTCTTCCCACAGTCTTCGCACTCATAGGGCTTCTCTCCAGTGTGGATTCTCTTGTGTTTGGTCAGGCCTGAACTTTGAGCAAAACTCTTCCCACATTCATGGCAATAGTGTCGCCTGTTCTTTGCGGCGTTCGTCTGTGTTGCCTGTAACTTGCCTTCCTGTTCACTGGCTTCTGCACCTGCAGGAATCTGAACAGTGTCTCCTGCCAGGACGCTCACTGGCTGCTCGGGCTTTTGTTCTGTGTACTCCTCAACTGGAGGCAAGCCCGTGGTTTCAGTCTTCATTTCCACACCTGAAACACAATTGTCAGGAAGTGTTTACTAAGGCTGCAAGGGAGAAAGCTCTGAGAAAAACAGCAAGGAGGCAAACGTTATAGAGCTCTCTGAATGCCAAGGACAAATATTTAAAGTAAATATTTAATAGTTAATTTATTTTTAATAAATAAGGTAGTATGTTATTAATTATTTATTAACATGTTGATTAATTTTAAAATTTAATATAATCTAGAGTATATCAATTAAACTTTTTTATGTTTAAATTTAATATTTCAATGCAAAAATAATGGTGGGAATAAAGGGAACAACAGGAGTGCTGGGGAGGAAAGAAACCTGATAGGAACTGGGATTCAATGGAAAAACAGGAAGTGGGGGAAGGTGGGGAGGACCAAGACCATGAAACCCAATGAAGAACCAATCAGCATAAAAATTCCTAAAAACCATTTAATAAAACATGAAAAGCGTCATTTTCTGTACTTTATAAATCCTTTCCAGTGTCCTGGACAGTAGGTTCTAAAACTATTTCTCTGTATTCCCCTCCTCTCTAGACAGGCTTTAGGCTCAGGATCCACAGGTGAGGGCATGGACCCTAAGAAGAGTGAGGCTGAGCTATACACTAATAGTAAATAGACCTCAGATACACACCTAAGGTACTAAAGGTGGGACAAAAGCAACATCAGCAGCAAGTGAAAATATTTCTGAAACACGCTCTAATAAACTAAGAAAGTAAGGACTCCAAAAAGTCAATCAGTGGTCGGTGATACGCATTTTCACCTCTGATCAAATAATCACTGACAAGGGGTTTTCTAAGGTGGAGACACCATCAAAGAACTCCATGCCTTGCAAAGTTCAGTAGGTTGTATTTACAGCAGTTCTACTATTGCTGGGTGTGGTGGTCTGAATGAGAACAGCTTCCATAGGCTCAAATGGTTTGAATACTTGGTACCCAGTTGATGGAACTGTCTGGGAAGGATTAGGATTAGGAGGTGTAGTCTTATTGGAGGAGGTGTGTCACTGGGGTGGACTTTGAAGTTTCAAATGCCTATACCTTCCCAGGTAGCTCTCTCTGCCTCACGCTTATGAATCAAAATGCAAGCTCTCAGCTACAATGCCAGTGCCATGCCTGCATGCCTGCATGCCTGCTGCCATACCCCCCACCATAACGGCCATGAACTCTAACCCTTTGAAATTGTAAGCAAGCCCCAATAAGCTCTTTCTTCTATAAGTTGCCTTGATTGTGGTGTCTTCTCACAACAACAGAAAAGTAACTAAGACGCGGGGATACTCTGACTTTACAAATTGTACTTTGTTTTCTTTGTAGCACTCTTAAATATCCAAAATAACACTATTGACTTTTTTGTTATCTTGTACCACTAGAATATAAATCTATCAGAGCAAAAATTCAGTTTTATTGATGGTTCTATTCCCAGTACCAAACAACAATGCGATGGTAGAGAGGCCTCTAAAGATACATATACCTACATACCTACATACATATATACAACATATACACACCAAACTGAGATCAGTATCCTGCTAAAACTAGATTAATTGCTTCTAAATATCAATTTTAATTGTATCTAAGATTCACGGGATTGGTTAGGAAAGCTTTCTTTTTAATTTTCCTTTTTCAGTCTTAGAAATAATTGGTGGTGGGCATAGAAAGTAATTGTCAAATAGACCCATCTTTTAGGTGACCATTAAAGGAAAGTAAATGAAGTCTTTATAATAATTTACACAGTGTAGGACTGGGAATGTGGTACCTCAGTGATAGCATGTTCACTTAGCATGTATAAGGCACTGAGTTGGATCCCTCCCATCACACACACACACACACACACACACACACACATACACACACACACACACACACACACACACACTCACATTCTCTCACCTCTTGCTTGTAAGGGTGAACAGTCTGAAGATTCCTGAGATGAATGCTTGAGCGGACTCTTCCTTGGCTGGGAGTAGCTACTTTGTGAGTTCTGGGAAGGCTTCAACAATGCCCCCGTGCAGCAGAGACGTTCTCGACTCCATTCGCCATTTGGGACCTAAAAGTCATTCATTTATTTTTATTTATTCAACCAAACTTTCCCATCACACTCTGTGTGAGGACTTTCTCTTACCACGCACTGATTCTAAGAGCTTCGTGAATATTAACTCACTGAAATACAGACAGCCCTGTGAACTATTGGGAGCAGAGCAAGAAGGTCCTTGCACCCACAGATCTCCAGAGAATCCAGAAATGTTAAGCATACAGGATCGTCTTTCCAAAGGGAAAGATAAAAAACCTGTTCTTCCAACCAGAAAGCTGAGAACTGGAAGTGATTAATGTCCTGGTGATCTGTATTAACTGTTGGGTCAGGCCATAGCAAACTCTTACAACCAAGACTGAAGGGGGCTAGTAATCTAAATGACCCTTATAGCCAGAGGGTCCCCCAAATTCCCACAATGACTAATATCCCAAATGATCTCTATGGTATCTGCATGACTGAGACCAGACCAGACCCTTAGGCTGTTAAGATAGTGCAGGTCGCCTATCTCTAGAACCCATTCTCTTTTTTTTTTTTTTTTTTTTTTTCATTTTCGAGACAGGGTTTCTCTGTAGCTTTTGGTTCCTGTCCTAGCACTAGCTCTTGTAGTCCAGGCTGGCCTCGAACTCACAGAGATCCGCCTGCCTCTGCCTCCCGAGTGCTAGGATTAAAGGCATGAGCCACCACTGCCCGGCTTAGAACCCATTCTCTTGGAAGACATGACAAGTACCCTGAGTTGAGTCTCAATGTAATTAGGCTTCCTTGTGCACTGAGAATTGTATCACACCAGCAAATTTTTCTAAACTATTCCGGGCTCTAATACACTGGGAATAAACAGCCTGCTATTAGACTCCCCAAAGTCTGATCCAGGTTGAGGAAATCAATTTGCATCAGGGTTTTATTCTTATCTCTTCATGGAGTTCACTTTCCTGTATGACAGCTGCAGGGACCCTCCCCATTCAGTGAAATATGGGATTGTTTGGAATTTTGTAGCTGAAACTGAGGCCCAGATTAAGCAGCTTGTCCATGTCATCGAGCTCCTAAGTAGCAATGCGACAATGGGAGCTAAGGCAGAACAGCCACAGAGCTTATGGATTAACCATCTTTTTTTGCTCCCTTGCTCTGTCTCTCTACCCTTATGAAGCTGATGGGAAAATCTATAGAAGTATTAATATCTGAATTGTCTGAAAAATAAACATAGTAATTTCCACTGAACAGGGGTTTTAAGAAACAAATTTGATTACAGTATGTGAAACCAACTAAGACAGAACGTAATAGGTGGTGGATCCTCATTAAAGTTTAGTTTCCTTGCAGTCACGTATAGTAAAATGATGCTCAGAATTTCTTACATCTTTTACTAAGTCTTGAACTGACTGTCCACTGTTACAGAGCTCAGGACAGCAGCTCTAAGGCCAGAATCTTGGTCTCCTGATCACTAGTTAGAAGGTTCTAATCACATGTCCTCTGATGCAAGGACACTGGAGGTTGAAGAAAGGAAATCTCCTAAAAGAGGCCAAAATGTATTTACATGTGTAGATTAGTGCTGCCCCAACCTTATCAACAGATGTTTTTCTACACAGTTGGCAGCAGTTAACACAGAGACTCAGAACTGTCAAAGGCTGAGAATAAATGGCTATTGAGTGCTTATCCTTAAATAGCACATGTACAACAACCTCTACCTCTCATGGCTCAGGGAACCTCATGAAAGACAGGGCAGAAAGAACCTGGGATGGGGAAGAGTATTGCAAAATGCTACTTTCTGGAAAAGACATGGCTACTGACTCAGGAGCTCACTGTAGCTGTGTGAACAAGATCAGACAACATCATCAGTCAACATTCCAGCGAGTGCTACTAACTGGACTTAGCAGGTTACAAAGAGGAGGCTTATATAAAGGGGGGGGGAAATATAATGGAGACACATAGTTAATGTGTACAGACTTATTCCTCCCCCCCCCCCCCCCACACACACACACCGGCATTGTTTTTAAGGCCAGAAGATGGAAGTTAAAACCAGGCCATTTTCAACGAGAGGATCAAACAAGGGGTCCATGAATTTGGACAGGAAAAAAACTTTCTAGATTCTAGGAAAACTGTGAAATGTCCCTCCATTGTCAATAAGAACAACAAAGCAAGGTGGCTAAGGACGACAGCACTGAAGATGCTGTCACATGTGACAAGCCAAGAAAACACGTATCAAGTCATTTGTACCCACTGTCACTGTGCTCAAGCCTGTCCTCGGGTCTTACTCAGCACACCGGTTATGAGTTCACATCTAACCTCTCACCACTCTGCTCGACACAGTCTACCCAAGCTGCGCTAGCTTTGAGTTCTCCCCAATCCTTGTACTTTCCTTTGTGCTTTTAACTATTCTGAGGGGTCCAGGCCACCTCGCTGTTGCCTCAGGTTCCCAGTTCAGACTGAGACTTCGCTGGCTCTAAGCAATGCCTCCCTTGGATCTTGCTCGAGGTTTCTGGAAGGCACAGGGCATAGGTCTCAGACCCTAAACCCGTTCCTTCTACCTGTGGAGGCGTCTCGTCCAGCTGCCTCTCCAAGTACTCCAACAGCGCCACCACCTCCTCCCCGCTGTCGGGGTGCTGCTCGCGCACCCAGGCCTGCAGTTCCCCTGGCAGGATGGTCAGGAACTGCTCCAGCACCAGCAGCTCCAGAATCTGCTCTTTGCTGTGCATATCTGGCCGCAGCCACTGTCTGCAGAGCTCTCGGAGCCGGCTCAGCGCCTGCCGGGGTCCAGCAGCCTCTGGGTAGCGGAAAGCGCGGAAGCGCTGGCGGGAGCGGTCGGATGCAGGGAAGCTCAGCCAACTGGCCTCCTCTGCCAAGGAGGAGACCTCTTCCTGTTCCACGTTCACTACCAGAAGCCCACCCCCCTCTTCTGCCGATGGAGCGATTAGGGCTGCGCTCGCCTGCGGCTCTCTAGCCATTCTGCGCCAAGCCTTGGCTCACGCAAGCTGCAAGCTGCGGATCCTCAGAGAATCCTCTGAAGATGGGAACTCAGGATAAACCTGTCTCCTCCTCTAGTTCCCTGGGACACACGGAGGCACAGCTGCACGGATATCTCCGACAAGCCTTGCCTTTGCGGAATCCTCCTTTGCACTCCAACCTAACCCCACAACAAATATTCCCAATGAATGCCCCGGTCAAATAAACTACATCCAGACACTGGCTGGAGCACAGGAAACATTGTGGAAACCCAAGCCACTTCCTGGGCTCTCTAGGATGCTCTTCTCAGTGGTTCTATCCGAATTAACTCATTAGTGTCTCTATCAGTACCTCAACTCAAGGGAGGATTGTTGGGGGAAGGATTAGAGCCCGGGGTCATACTGGAGTGTATATTTAAGTCCAGGAAATAAGTTGCCGGGGAGCTTTGATTCTTTTCCGATCTAAAGCTTACCTTCATGGTTGTCACAATGCTGACATTAAAATTTAACTAGGAAGTAGACTTTGCAGAAAACAAAGTTGGGACCTGGTAGGAAATTTGGTACCTCTTAGAAACCATGAAAGAAGCAGGACACTCACTTGTCTGGAGAGTGTCCCACCCTCTTCCTGCCTCTCCCTTTCATGCCCCTCCGGGCCAAACTATCTGAGAGAAAATCATCCCGACCGTGACTCACGTCCCCACTGCCCACCATTTTGTGGACCGGTAAAGCGGTAAAGCGCCAGTGCAGCCGCTGCTATGACACCTCCCAAACCTGAGAAAGGCAAACTGTCGTCCATTAAAAGGAACCCAATACACAGGTCAGCCAGGAGCAATAAACTTTATTTCGACCCTGATTAGAACAAAACGACTGTTGTGATGGGGCAAGATGGTGCACAAGCTCCTCCATCCTAGATTCCTGCTGAGGCCGTTTCCAGGTTTAACTAGAATCTGATCTCCTTGGGGTATCTTATGGAAAACTACCCAACTCTCTGCTGGGAACCAAAGGTCAGGATGTCCTATCTAACATACCTAACCTTTGTTGAAATTGCTTGTTTGTGCGGAACTGCCTCCAGCTAACCCTTTATCTTAGTTGTCTGTGCAGAGTCCCCCTTAGGTTGGCTAACCTCTTATCTGAGCTTCTGTTAAAACTGCTGGCTTCAAATTGCTTACTCTGCAAAGTCCCCATTCAGCTGCCTGGGGGAAGCCTCAAGAGGTCTCTACCCTTTAAAACCTCACGTTCTGGACAGTACACCACACCTAGCTCCCATGAACACTTGGGTGTGGTACCAGCCAGCTGAATGAAGACTTCAATTGGCTATAGGCTGTGTCTGAGGGGCCAAGTCTGGTAAGCTTCCCATCACTGTAAAAAGATACAGCTGAGACAATGGGAAAAACTAGAGGGCAGTAATATTAAGCATTTATTGGCAATTTAACTATTAGAATGATCCTATCATTTTTATAAGATTTATTTTTATTTATGTGAGTCTGTCATATGTGTGTATGCCATACATGTGCTAATGTTTGTGAAAACCAGAAGAGGATATCAGGTCAGTCAGAGCTGCAGGCAGGTGTGACTCAAACTCAGGTCCTGTTGAAAGACCCGGAGAAATCCAGACCCCTCTAGCAGAAAGAATAGGGCCCAAAATCTAGCAGGGAGAGACGAACCAAAAATCTAGGTTAGCCGGTTTAGTGACTCCGTTCTAGGAATTAGCTAACCATAAAGTTAGATTATAATCTTGAGAATAGTCTTGAGAAATGGGGAGTTAGCCCCTTGTGATGATCACTGGTATTTTTGGAATTTACCAATGACGCCCTCCCTTTGGGCTGTAGTTTCTTCCCCTAAATACCCCCTGTTGTAACAAGAGCAGTGGGCTATGTTCCTGGCACCTGGCCGCCTGCACGGCTAGCTTTATAGGCAAAATAATTACACGGAAACTCTCTTCTTTTAAACACAGCTTGGCCCATTAGTTTCAAGCTCTTACTGGCTAACTCTCACATCTTGCTTTAACCCATTTCTAATAATGTGTGTAGCACCACGGGGTGACTTACTAGGGAAGATCTTAACCTGCTTCTGTGCAGGATGGGAGAATCATGGAGACTGCCTGACTAGGCTTCTTTCTCCCAGCATTCTGTTCTATCTACTCCGCCTACCTAATTTTCTGTCCTATTAAAGGGCCAAGGCAGTCTCTTTATTTAACCAATAAAATTAACACAAAACAGAAGACTCTCCCCCATCAACCCCCTCTCCCAGTTAATCGGGGTCGAACTCCTCTACCCCTTCGTGGGATATGAGTCTCGGCCCCAGTGCGCTGGTTCCTGTGCTGTCAATAAACCTCATGTGATTGCAGCAAGGATGATCTTTGGTGAGTTCCTGGGGAGTCGTGTTATCCCGAGATTTGAGTGAGAGTCTCCCCACTCCAGGGGTCTTTCACTGTCATGGTTAGGGTTACTTTTGCTGTGATAAACACCATGACCAAAAACTACATGGGGAGGAAAGGGGTTATTTGGCTTACAAATTCTAATTATAATCCATTGTGAAGTCAGGGCAGGAACTCAAGGCAAAAATGCAGAGAACTGAAGCAGAGTCCTTAAAGGAACACTGCTGAGTCCGTGGAAGAATGCTCCTTACTGGTTTGCTCTCCTGGTTCGTTTGGTTTGATTTCTTATACATCTCAGGACTACCTGCCCAGGGATGGCAGAGCCCACAGTGGTCCAGCTCTTTCACATCAATCATCTGCCAGGAAAATGCCACACAGACTTGTCTACAGGTCAGTATGATAGGGGCATTGTTTTCAACTTAGATTCCCTCTTCTTAGATGATGCTAGTTTTGTCAAATTGGCAAAAACCAACCAACAACGGTCCTCTGGGAGAAAAGCAAATGATCTTGACTACTGAGATATCTCTCCTGCCTCTCTATAATTTTTTAAATCATTTATTAGAACTTTATATTGAAATATCTGTATACATGTATGAGACAATATGATGTCTGAGGTTTGATGAAGCAAATACTTATCAAAAAAAGGAAGAAAGAAACAAATGACACAATCATGGTAATTGTTGAAGCTGGGTGAGAGGCATATGGGGATCCAATGTAATGTTCTGTATAGAGTTACAAAAATGTTTCCATGGTAATTTTTTAATTAAACAAAATCCTACCTTCCTTGATTAATGAATAGTTCAGTACAAAAACTATTAAGTAAGTCTAAAAGAGATGGGATAGGAGATAGCGGTTCATCCCAGAGTGAAGGTCCATTCTGGCTTAACCAGTTAATATTCATCTTGTCAGTTTGAGTAGATTCAGAAGAACCTAGGAGATCAATAATACACACACCTTCTAGATTGGCCACAAAAGCCACAACCCCACAAGCAGTACAATGTTTTTGATGGATTCCTTATATGATGATGTAATTTAGATGGAAGTAGAAACCAGGAGGCAAAGCCTAACTGGAGTAGGAAGGTCTTCGAGATTTTGTCTTTAGGGGCTGTGTCCTTTTCTTTGCTTCCTAGTTGGCCAACACATGTGAAGAGCCCCTGCTTCATGCTACTGCCACCATTCCTTCTCTGCCTCAGGGGACTGAAACCCACCTAAAACCATGAGCCAAAATAAGTCTTTCTTCCCAAGCTGTTTCTGTTGAGGATATTGTCAGAGTGTCACAAAATTAACTAATATACCAGTGCTGTTAGTTACTGTCTTATAGCTGTGGTAAACACCTGACAACAAGAAGCAGCTTAAGAAAAGTATATTTGGCCTCTCAGCTTGAGGGTGCAGTCCATTATGGAGGACCATGGCAGCAGAAACAGCAGGAAGCTACTTAGCCATGTCTATATCTTGGCATATCAATATCGGGAAGCAGGGAAAGATGAATTCTGATGTCCATCTGCCGTTCTTCTAGTTCTCTTTTATTTCATCTGGGATTCTAGCCTATGGGACAGTGCCACCCCTCAGCCTTTGTGGTCCTTTCTTCCTCAGCCAGTCCTTTCAGGAAAAGCCAGCACAACAGACACAACCAAGGGTACTCTGAATTAGTACCACCAGGTATTTATTTATTTGGGATAGGTATGTGTACACACACTTGAGCACATGTTTCCGAATGTGGAGGCCACAGAAAAATGTTTAAAAGCATTTAAGTTCTGTTGGTCCAGGGCTCACAAAGTAGGCTGGGCTAACTGGCCAATAAGCCTCGGGGATCCACCCATCTCCACCTCCTCGGCCCTGGAATTACAATAGCTTTTACATGAGTTCTAGAGATCAAACTCGAGTCCTCATCTTTCACAGCAAGCACTTTGCTGACTGGGTTGTGCTAGCACCACACACACACACACACACACACACACACACACACATGCACGCACACCACATACACACATCTTAATTTAATGAAGTTAATTACCACACCAGTCATAACATATAAGGACTGAGCCCAGTGAGAGAAGTGAAAAGAGATGTGGAAACTGATATAAACAAGATTAATTAACCAAACAAATACTAGAGATGTTAGTACCTTTTTACTCTCTTGGAAGTTATAAATATTGGAAAAACTCAAAATGTATCCTGTCGTATTAGATTGGGATTGAGATGTCAGTGTGAACCAAGGTCTCACTACCTGTAGTAACCTCCGGAAATAAACATAGGTATCCAGATGTGCTGGTTAGTTTTTTAGCTATTTGACACCAACTAGGATCATCTGGGAAGGGCGAAACTGAGTGGAGCAAGTGTCTCCATCAGAGTCTCTGTAAGGTAGACTGTGAAGGCATTTTCTTCATTGATTCTTGATGTGGGGAGGCCTGTATCACTAGCGCCAGTGCCGTCTCTGAGGAGGTGGCCCTGGGTTGTATAAAAATGCAAGCCAAGTGAGTCATGAGGAGTGAACCAACAAGCAGTATTCCTCCATGATCTCTGCTTCAGTTTCTGCCTCCAGGTTCCTGGCTTTACTTCTCAGGTTACTTTTGTTCATGGCGTTTTATCACAGGAAAAGAAAGCAAACTAAGACACCAGATACACAGAACATATACACATGAGTATGCACACGTGCACACACACACACACAACACACAACACACGAAACAGGAGTCTTTCAGAGACAAAAACTAGTATATCCAGAACTGAGCAGTGTTCATATATCTCAGTCTTTTTGATTACTATAACTAAATACTATAAACTGAATGGCTTATAAACAACAGAAATTTATTTCTCATGGTTCTGGAATATGAGAAGCTACAGGAGCTTTTCATTCTCAACTGAAGGTATCATCTAGCTAGAGAAAGGGCAAGGCAGCTCTCTGAGACATCTTTTTAACAGCACTGACTCCAAACATGAAGGCTAAGCCCTGACGCTAATAATTTCCAAAGACCCCACTTCCTAACACCAACACACTGGTAATAAGGTTTCAACATATGAATTTGAAAGAACAAACATGCAAGCCATTTATGGAGATTTGGCAGACAATATAGATTAAAGATATTATATACAACCCACAGTCATTAAATGAATTCTTGATTGTTTCCTATTTTTACAATTATTATTGTTTCATGTGCATGGGTGTTTTGCCTACATATATGTCTGTGTACCAAATGCATACCTTGTGCCTGAGAGGCCAAAAGAGGGCATCAGATTCCCTGGAACTGGAATTAGACTATTGTGAACTGCCACATGAGAGCTGGGAACTGAACTCAGGTCATCTGGAAGAGCAACCAGCGTGCTTATCCACTGAACATCTTTCCAGCCCGATTCTAGATCTTAAAATATGTTTTTATTTGAAGGATATTATTAGAACAGTATACCCTGTACCATTTCTATTCAATTTCATTTTATTTTATTGTTTAGGAGTCCTAGTATCAGAGCTGTGTGGTGACGTGTGCTTATAATCCAAACACTTTAGAGGTAGAGGTTGGAAGATCTGGAATTCAAAGTCAGCCTCAGCTACCTAGTGAGTCTGTAAGTCAGTCTAGGCTATGTGAAACTTTGTCTTAAATAAAAAAAAAATTAGCAAGAACAGAGGGCTGAGGAAACAGTTCAGTTTTTTTTTTTTTTTTTTTTTTTTTTTTTTTTTTTTTTTTGGTTTTTCGAGACAGGGTTTCTCTGTGGTTTTGGATCCTGTCCTGGAACTAGCTCTTGTAGACCAGGCTGGTCTCGAACTCACAGAAATCCACCTGCCTCTGCCTCCCGAGTGCTGGGATTAAAGGCGTGCGCCACCACCGCCTGGCAAACAGTTCAGTTGTTAAAAGTACTTGTTGCTCTTGCAGAGGATCTGAGTTCGGTTCCCAGTACCCACACGAGGCAGTTCAAAACTGCCCGTAGCTGCAGTTATCGGGGGCCCAACATCCTTTTTTGACCTCTATAAGCACTACAGATGTATATACTCTCTCACGCACATAAACAAAATCCCCTTTAAAAAACAAAACAAAAACCAGGCAGAGCTTCAGCAAAGCATCATTCCTAGATTTTGACTCACCTTACCTTGGGAATTTTTCAGCTCGGCCTCCTAGATTGCAATGACTGTCAGATTAGGGAATGATATCATACATGAAAGTTTGCCATTTCAGATTCTGGGATGTAAAGTGCCTTCAGGGGTTATTTCTAAATGACTGTGTTTCTGAAGAAATATCCCTAAAAAAAAAAGAGGAAGCTTCCAGACTAATGCATCTATATCTCTGGAGCAGAAGACTGTGAAATCAAGGAAAACAAGACTCTGGAATTATCCTTTACCTATTTACTTACTTATTCCCATTATCAGAAACTTAAGCTCGAACTTTGGTTCCAGAAGTAATCTGGATTTTGCTTCCAATAGGGACAAACAGGCTTGTTTGGTGAGTCACCAGAAACTGAGCCTTTGGATTTACGAACAGCAGGCATACTCCACCACTACTAAGCAACACTCTGAAAACTCTTCTGCTTTTTGATGCAGAATCTCATCAAGTTGCCATAAGACCCTGAACCAGCGATCACCTTGCCGCAGTTTCCTTGGTTTCCTTGGTTGCTAGGCTGCAGACCTGCAACACTAGGTGGCTTACTAGTGCCTTTGGAGTAGGGCATAGGGGTAAGCAGGAGTCCTTCACTAAGCAGAAAGGTGGAGGCAGAAATGAAAGTGGGAATGGTGAACCACGTGGCAGTAAAACACAAAAATCCAAAAGAAGAGATGGTTGTGTTGGAGAGTTTAAGTCTACTGGGAAAGACAAGACTCAATCCAAATTTAGATTAAAATCAGATGAATTTATTCTTACTGGTAGTGTTGTGCCCCAAAGAGAGACCACCAACGAGGCACAGACTGTAATAAGCAAGGTTTAATTAGCATAATACAAACATGTTTGGAAACCATCTCTGACCCCGCTGCAGTGAGGTAGAGAGGAGTTAAAAGTTCCTTTGTGGGGTTAGCTTATTTTAAAGGCAAGAATCCCAAGCAGCCTTTCTAGGCAGTGGGGGGGGGGGGTTCTGGCACAGGTGCAAAGTCTTTGCTTCTTTCCATCCTTCTTTGTTAGGGAGCAAGGCCATGCCACTCCTGAGTCAGGACATCCTTATCACCAGATGGTCCCATCCTGACTCTAGGCTTTGTAGTCTCCTGAGTCAGGAGGGGGCCACTACCCTTCCTGGGAGCGTGAAGCTAGCCTGGGGTTTCTAATTTTAAAATATTCTGCTAGGAAATTTCTTCTCGCCCCTTTGAGAATAAGGGGTGAGGGTCCCACAGTAGCAGGAAGGACGGGCATTTTATAACCAAATCAAGAGCTGTAGATCGTTAAGGGAAGCATATTTAAGGTGGCCATTACAATTATCTCACTTCTGTGGAATCCATGGCTGCGTGGGAAGTTGCTCTACTCCCCTTAACTGTCTCTCACTCCCATTACACAGGGATAGAGAGAACTGCTTTGTTCCTTTTCCCACAGGGATAAGCAGGTTAATGAAAGCCAGGGCAAGTGGTGACTTATCTCATAGCAAGTACACCATGCTTTCATCCCTATCTCACAGCAGTAACATCATTTTGCAGAGGATACAGACAGCTACACTAGGTGTTATTCTTTTATAAAGATATAAGGATGGGGGGGTCAGTCCCACAGAGGCAGAAGTCCCATGAGGGGCAGCGACGGGTGACTTGAGGGCTCAGCAGGTCACCTTGGTGGGTAGGAGACTATGGTGGGTGAGAGACAGAGAGATACATCATCATGCAGAGAGAGAGAGTTGGGTTATGGCATTTACTTAGCAGGTTATGGAGGGGAAAGGGAAGGGGGAAGAAGAGAGAGAGGCAGAGAGAGAGAGTATGAGAGAATTAGAGAGAGGGGAAATGATATGGGAGAGAGAGAGAGAGAGAGAGAGAGAGCAAAAGTTACCTCTTCAGGAGAGAGAAGGCAGAGTGAGAGAGAGAGACAGAGAGCAAGAGAGCAGGAGAGCAAGCTGGAGAAGGTGGGAAATTAGCTTGCCTCTATGGAAGGGGAGGGTTGAAAGTGGGGCAGGGCTTGTCTCTTAAAGAGACAGGGTACCCAGGCCAGCAGATCATAACACTAGGAACCTAGGGGAATTTTAAGGCAAAGATCAATAGCTAATTGAAGAACTAAAGTTCCTTTATTTTATCCTCCGCTTCCATCTTGTGTCTTGTGTAAGCTATTTTACATAAAACATTCCAGTACTCAGAAATGGCTAGGGGCAAAAGTAACAGGGTAACCATCTGAAAAGTACGGATGAATGTCCCTGTCTGAAGGTCAGCCAATAAAAAAACTTGACAAGCAACAGGCAAGGTTTGAAAATGAAAATCTGTGAAAAGTCCCTAGATATGAGCCAATCAGGATTGAACCCTTTACCCAAAAGCCTGCAAATGTAACTTTCCTGGGGTTTGCCTTTAAATAATGCTCTCTAGAAGGGTGGGGTACCTCCTCTCGCTGATGCACTGAAGAGATCCCTGCTGGCTTGCAATTATGTGCACGATAATAAACCTTGCTTTTGCATTTTGGTGAGTTGGTCTTGGGTCTCCCATGGACTGGGCACAACACTAATAAGGAGAAGACTCGTATAGAGTTAAATTTTCTTAGCCATCACAGGTGTGGTGATGAAAACCTTTAATTTTAGTGCTTGCATGGTAGAAAGAGGAGGATCAGAAGTTTAAGATCATCTTTTCCACCTAGCGAGCTCCAAGTCAGCTGGGCTGCAAACGCTCCACTTAATAATAATAGGAAATAGCGTGGTGGTGGTGGAGCACGTCTTTAATTCCAGCACTCAGGAAGCAGAGGCAGGAGAATCCCTGCAAATTTGAGGCCAGTCCGGTCTACAAAGTGAGTTCCAGGACAACCAGGGCTGTAACACAGAGAAACCCTGTCTCAATAATAATAATAATAATAATAGTAATAATGGTAATAATGATGATGATAGAAAGTACATACATGCATAGATACATACAGCAGAAAGACAATGATAATTCCATTTGTTATCCCAAGGAGCTCAATGTAGGGAATGTAAATCGTGAAATGTGGTATGAGTGAGTCTATTTCCTTGAGGCTGACGAGGGGATCTTGCGCAGACCCCTGGCCGCTTTCCCTTCCATCAGAGGCAGGCCCCAGGTATGTACTAACCCTTCCCTGGGTCGCGCTGCAGAATTGAGCCTAGTGCGCTTGCGTGCTGTCCCTAGTGCGCCTGCGCAGTTCCTAGCGCGCCGGCCTGTGTGGTAGTCATGTGCTCTCCATGATGCGGCCTCTGGAGTAACCGCCCCGCCAAAGGTTTGAAGTCGGACCATGTCGCCCGTGTCCCGATCCCGTCCTAATGAGGACACTCTGGGCTCTGAGAAACGACGGCGTGCCTCGGACAGCCCACCGTCGGTGTTACAGACTCGACGATCCCCTTGGGGAGGCGGTTTCGGTCTTCAGCTCAGCGGATCCGAGGGGCTCGGCCCTCCGCGGGGTCCAGAGAGGCCCGGCCCCAGGTCTGGGGAGCTGCCGCCACCGCCAGGGATCCGCACATTTGCCGCCTCTTGGTCCTCCTCTTCCGTCTCTGGCGGCTACCGCTACCACTATTATGCGGGAGAGCGTTTGTGGGCCGAGGACCAGGAGAAGGAAAAGGAGGAGAGCTATCGGCAAAGGAGGCTGAAGGAAAGAGAGAGGATAGGAGAGCTGGGCGCGCCCGAGGTGTGGGGACTGTCACCCAAGTTTCCTGAGCCAGATTCGGATGAACACACACCAGCTGAAGAGGAGGTGAAGAACCCGAAGAACAGCAGTTCAGACGTCGCCAGTGAAGAAAACAGCACGAAGACCGGTCATTCAACAAAGAGAAAAAGGAAGAAAAAGCCCTCCAAACGGAAACGTAGAAAGTATTGTGACAGTGACAGCAATTCAGACTCTGACGTTCAGTCTTGCTCCGGGGGCGATAAAAGGAAAGTTAAAGCCAGGAAGAAAGACAAGAAAAAGAAACACCGGGCAAAACAACTCAAGAAGAGGAGGAGGACTAGAAAAGAATCCAGCGAGATACGCTGCGAAGCTTTAGAAAGGGAATTGCCAGAAGAGGCGTGGATGGAACAGTCAGTGAGTGCAGATGCCCCGGATTTAATAGGCCCCAAAGCACCGGTAATACACACCTCTCAGGATGAGAGACCTTTGAATTATGGCCACGCTCTGCTTCCAGGTGAAGGCGCAGCCATGGCTGAATATGTAAAAGCTGGAAAGCGTATCCCACGAAGGGGTGAAATTGGGTTGACGAGTGAAGAGATCGCCTCCTTTGAGGGTTCAGGTTACGTCATGAGTGGTAGCCGACATCGCCGGATGGAGGCTGTAAGGCTGCGGAAAGAGAACCAGATTTACAGTGCTGATGAGAAAAGAGCCCTTGCATCCTTTAACCAGGAAGAGAGGCGGAAGAGAGAGAATAAGATCCTAGCCAGTTTTCGAGAAATGGTATACAGAAAGACGAAAGGGAAGGATGACAAGTGAGAACTTGTTTGTTACTCTGCGGGACTTTTAAACAACAAAGGTTTTGTATGGCGAAAATAATAGTAAATAGTTCTACGGTTCCCCAGTGATACTGTGCTCACTATGCTACTAAGTACCCTAGGGAAACACTTTTTGAGACTTCACTAGAAAGTTTTACAAACATTCAGGGAATGAGTAAAAAGGTGAATGTCACTCCAGTCCCACCCCCTCTACAAAAGCAAATTGTCTTCCATATTCTTTTGTGGTTTTGTGCATATGCAAGGTATTTTGCGGAACAAAAGTTATTACTACTAAACGGAAGAGTGCCCCACCCCATCTGTTACTGTGATCCTCTCCCCTCCCCCACCAGGAGGAGTTTACCTTTTGGAGTCATTTGCCCCAGAAAGACAAAAAGAACTTGAGAGCTATACCCGAGAAAATAACCATTTGGACCTATCTGGATTCAGTGGACTGTGTTCTGCTGGCTGTAGTTACCACACTTGGTAAAAGAAACTGAGTTTTGTAACAGAAAAGCCTAGGAAACTATGTTTCCAGCATAATGTTAATAGAATTTGGGCTTTTTCTCTTTTTCCATGACTCATTTTCTTAGAGTGGTTTCCCTTATAAAAAGAAAGAACTGCCAAATCTCTTGAAAGAATATTTCCTTTTGAAGTGGTTGGGTGTTTTCTTACTTTAATTCAATGTTGTTTCTTCATAATAAGAAAGTAGCACCATCAGCTGTTGTGCATTGTAAAATTAGGAGAGTCTTGCTCTTTCTCTGACCCTGTGCCAGTTTTCCTCTGATCCCTCTTATTGCCAATGGGAAGATCATGGGTTTGGCCAAAATGGAATGCATATAACCAAATTACAGTGGTATTTAAGGCTAATGATAACAATATTCTGGTAATTTGTTAATATGTACTCTTGCTTAATTTATTGATATGATAGAACTTTTATAACCACTTTTTGAAAGATGAGTTCATAAATTTTGAACATCAGAGCCTAGTTTAGTCTGAAAGTAGATATATAGATCTACTTTATATATATTGTGTTTACCTGCAGTCATTAAGAAGTTGAGGTATTTTCTCCCAGAAGCAGTACTTGAGAGTAGTTTCTTCTCCATGTGTATTACTACATTACTGAAAGTTTTATCCACTATTAATTTAAGATAATCTTATTAGAGTAAGTTGTTTCACAGTAGTTTGTTTACGATGTCATATTTATTTCCAGATTTTTGTGTATTTCTCATATTTCTTCACTGAGTTCTTCCAGTGAAGTATTTAGAATCATCTTTATGTGAAGCATTTTTTTATTTTTTTATTGAAAAAATTTCCGCCTCCTCCCCGCCTCCCATTTCCTTCCCCCTCCTCCCACTCTTCTCCCCTCCCCCCACTCTTCCCCTCCCCCCCCACTCCATTCCCCCTCCCTCTCCAGTCTGAAGAGTAGTCCAGATTCCCTGCCCTGTGAGAAGTCCGAGGTCCTCCCCACTCCATTCAGGTCCAGGAAGGTGAGCATCCAAACAGACTAGGCTCCCACAAAGCCAGTTCATGCAGTAGGATCAAAACCCAGTGCCATTGTCCTTGGCTTCTCATCAGCCCTCATTGTCCGCCATGTTCAGAGAGTCCGGTTTTATCCCATGTATGTGAAGCATTTTAAACAAGATCTGCTGAGATGCTCTTGGTTTTCTGCAAGTTGTTCATTAACTACAGTTACCTCTCGTGATAGAGGAGAGAAGAGTTCACTGGCAACATTCACATTTTCCAAAGCACCAAATCCATCTTTTCAATCATGTCCCAACTTCAGGTAGACTATAGTAAACACCTCTCAGAAATTGCTCTGCAAAATTACCTTTTCAGACTGTTTTAATACCACTTTTTCCCCATTTGTTTCATCACAGTGAGGAAAGTGTGGGTCCTGTGTATCGTTTCTCAAGAGCACCTGCCCTCAGCTACCAGCCCCCAGGGATCACACCATAGCCTCTGTAGTCCATTCTTCTCCCCGCAGGGCCACAGTTGTAGGGTTTCCAAGGTCACTTCCAGGAAAGAATATTTCTGACTTGGTATTCTTAACAAGATTTGCCTTAGTTGATTGGCATAGTTTACATATCTGCTTGGAATGAGTGCTGTTGCCTGATGAACAGAATAGCTTACTCTGGGGCACCGCACGTATGATTAATAGGGAGGCCACATAAGGAGGACGTGGTTATCTGAAAATACCATGTTGGGCAGGGAAGATAGACAATCAACAAATGCCTGCTGCAGTTTTGAATTTTAAAATGTGTGTGTTCATAAAAAGTGCTGGTAGTTTACAAAGCAAAGCTTGATTTTATTGACCAACTCCTAATTGAAAAGGACACAGGGTTTATCCATAAATAAATATAGAAAAGCTTAAGATTCAGGGTGCTGAAGTCTTCCAAAGAATAGATTAGGACCACCTAGAAGGAAAGAAAGTTTGTAGAGATACAGGGGATAAGACTGCAAAGCATATGATGAGATCTTTTGTTTCTAAGGAAGACCTCAGAGTGAGCTGCACTTATGATCTACAGCCAGGCATTTGTTGTTCATAGGGACATTGATATGTACTGACCCCGATATCGTAGCACTACCCAAACTAACTCATCTCATTTGCAAAGCTTCCTTTACAAGGCTCAAAACGTTAGTAAGCCCTATAGAGTTGACAACATGGAGTGGGGTCCAGAATCTGGAAGGGCAATATGGCATGGAAGGACACCTTCATTCAGTGCTGTAACTTGTTTCAGGTCATCCCAAAGAAAGTTGAAGGAAGTTGGTGAAAGCTGTGCTTGTATATCTGCACGTTCCATCTATGGAAACTACGCCTCACTATATACAGGGGGGACCACTTCTTTCCACTTAACAGTACATCTTAAGTTTTGTATCAATACATAGAAATCTAATTTTTAAATAATTTTATAATTTCTGTCAAATGTGTTTCTGGACACATGGAACTCTTCTGGCTTAAAGTCAATAGAAATGAATTCAACCCAACAAGACAGGTTGGTCCATGGCATGGGTCCGAGGAGAGCACTGGTGAAAAGACAGCAGGCTGGGGACCCAGGCAAGAGCACGGCTGGGGAGGCTTTCTAAAGTGGGTTATGGTCACTCCTTTGCATCAGCTGTGAGCACCAGCATTGAAAGGTATTTTCTCTGCACAAATATTTCTTGTGTAAAGAGGAAAATAGTACTTTGTGTGTTGTAAGTACTGTAGAGAAGTCTGTAAGTTAGCCTTAGCCACTAACACCTTAGAAATTATGATCAACAGGGGTCAAACTTGAAAATGTTTAATTACAAATTGCATCACACTATAAAAAATATAAGGCTAGAAATCTAAGAAATTGGACTTTCTGAGACAGTTATTAGTGAAAAACTAAATGTCACATTTAATCTTCATGCTTTCAAATTTTAGTAGATACTATAATGATGCTTTTTAGGAAGATTGACAGGCCAACATCACTACCAGCGTTGTACTTTTTCAACAAGCTTTCTGTCTTTGTTTTTCTGGTCAGTGAAAGTGGATTTTCACTGTTAATTTTATTTTCCCTTGTCAAGAGTAAAGCATCGCTTCTTTTTCGGTATTTCTTATTTTGTAGTCCTTGTAATATAAAGTGTTCACTCTAGTGTTTGGTGGTTTTATTTGGGGAATGTTGGTCTTCTTATTCATAAAAGCTCTTAAGTAATAAAAAGTTAACTTCTTATCAACTCTCTTACAAATGCTTCTCTGTCACTTTTCTTTACTTGGTTTTCTGATCTTTGGCTTTGTTGCTTGAGAAAATGAACCAGCTGACTGAGCAGCTACAGCTTCAAAGTACATACAACTTACACACCATGGGATGTTGCCATCATAGAGGGACCTGGCTGGTACATCTGCCTTAAAGGAGATGTGAAATTTGATTGTATATCATCTTTGCCTGGATATAAACTGAGAACAGCATTTAATTTGAAGTGATTTTTCAAGGAATTAATTAATTATGTGTTGTAGAATAAAAATAAGACAAAATGGCTAACATTTGAAGAAATCATTAGAATCACACACACACACACACACACACACACACACACACACACCCTTTGAGAGGCTTATCTCATGCTATATCCCAAGCTAGCCTCAAACTCCAGGTAATTCTCCTACCTCAGCTGCAGTTACACTCTGCTTGGCTTTTAGAATCAGTTTATTAGTAAACTCTGCTGATACAGAAAGTTGATCAAGTGTCCAGAATTGAACTGAGTTTTAGTGCAGAGAAACTGAATTAGTGTCTCTGCTGCTGATTAACTTCCCATTGTAAATATCTAAAGCACAATATCCTCATAGGCCATTATTTTATGAGTTCACAAAAATACAGCATTTCACAAAGTGTGAAAATCACATAAGGTGAAGGGTGTGTGTATGTGTTTGCTTTGGTTTTTTAAAGCAGGGTTTCTCTCTGTCCTGGAACTTACTCTATAGTCTAGGCAGGCCTTGAACTCAGACATCCACCTGCCTCTGAGTGCTGGGATTAAAGGTATATGCTACCACAGTCCAGCAATTTTTTTCTTTTAATATCTCTAACATTGATCTGGAAAAATGGCTCCGTGGTCAAGGGCAGTAGCTATTTTTTTAGAGGTCATGGGTTCAGTTCCCAGATCCACATGAATGCTCACAGCAGTCTGTACCCCAGTTAAGGAGCTCCAGTGCCATCTTCTGTCTTCTGCAGGTACCAGGCACAAACATAGTGCAAAAAAAAAATCATGTTTTAAGTATTTGAAGCACAAAGAAAGGTATTTCTGACTCTTAGCTATAAACAGCTTGCTAAGAATTGGGCCTGGTATGACATAAATATAATACTGGCATTCAGGAGGCAGAGGATCATGACATCTACAAAAAAAATGGCAAAATTCTTCTTTGAATTTTTTTACATTTATTATTTTTATGTGTATATACATACAAGTTTTTTGTTTTTTCTTCCAAAAGTGAGTTTCAGGAATTGAATTCAGGTTGTCAGGCTTGGCAACAAGTGCTTTTCACCA